TGTCCTGAGTGTTTCTGCACCTAAAAAGGCGGGATCAGTACTTTGGTCGAAACTGTCAACACGTGGTTCCAGAATATTCCCACTGCCAACGGCTGTGCAAGTCTTGGAAAGAAGATATGATCCATAGCCACAGCTGGCTCATAGTACTAGAGTTACTAGCGGCAACTACCGCAACAAGGACCCAACAGCATCACTTACTTTGCGTCTCGAAGCTTCGGCCTCGTCCCTTGAAGCCTTTGGCCTGGCTACTGGTAGAGAGCATGTTCAGTGCAGCACCGTCGCCATTGTCACAACAAGTACCAGTAGCCACAGCACAAAGACCGGTCCAAGCAGAATGCTCATAATAATACTATTACTATTATTACTATTACTATTATTATTATGCTAATGGTGACTGTCGTCGGCATCACCTGTCAGACGACAGGTCCGTCGAAAACTCCTTCCGGGCGCCCGACCGCCTCAGGTGTCCGTGTGGTGGGCGACAACTGGAAGTTGGCGAAAGCCTTGGTGCGAGCCAAGATCGAAGCCGCTTGTCGAGTTATGACCATACGGGAACTCCTATGACTGCACCCTCTTGCAAAACAGAACAATGAATCATGGTATACAACTGTGGAGATCATTGCTCTACTGTCATTGCCAGGGCCGGTCGATAGAACGGGGCAGACCCGCGCACCAGCACGCTATGTTTGAACCAGCTTGGTTAGCCACGGCCAGCTGTTTGATGCTATCGGCCGATGACTCCAATGCTCTGTCCCGAAAAAAAAACCTGGAGCATCTTACTTAATATTCACGCTTTTTCCCGGACTTGGGCCTAGCATGGCCCAGTGGTTGCGATTCAACTCCTTTGCACCAGCAGAGAACTCAAGTGTTTGCGCAACTCTGAAGCCGACCCTACACCGAAACCCAAGCCGCCCAAAAGTCTACATGCCACTCAGGAGCTGACGATGTCAAAGGCCTTCAAGACCTCGGGTAGCGCGGGAATGATGATGATGCAAAAAGCCGATCTGTCGGATGGGTTTCCTGAGTTTGCAGGCCTTCCTATCTTTGTTATGAAACACCCGCCGTTCTAAACCACAAACAAAATACAATTCCATGGACATACACACGTAAATGAAGACAGATACATTGACACACATACATACTGTACGTGCATGCATGCTTACACAAACACATACATTCCTATCCTACTTAGGGTTTGACACTTCCGAGGGCTCTTCGAAGCAGACTAGGATTCGCTAGTAACCTCTTCAAGCTTCTGGGCTCATCACTACTGATAGTACCTACATACTTACACGACGGTTTGCTACGCGCCAAAACCCTCTGTATCTGTAGGAAGGATCCATGAGCATTGCCGGGGTCAATGCCTATGATGGTTCATCCTGTCATACCGTCTACCCACAGATTGCAGAACATGCGAAGTAGATAGAGAGAAAGACCACAGCGTTGCTTGCAATGATGTGGTATCGATGATCCTTGACTCACAGACATGCGCGGAAGTAAACCTTGGCCCAATGGAGCATGGATCGCACGAGCCTCCTCCTAACCCCAGGGCAGAGGAAGCCAAGTGCACGCGGACCCCAAACCCAAACTTGCAACAGGACCCAAACTACTATGGCCCTTCCCCCCCGCTCCACCTCTGCTACATTCCACCTCCCCCGTCGCATATGACCAGCGCCGCTCCCAGGCGCAGCTCGTAAAGTGCAGGAGTCTTCTGAAGCACATCGGTTTTGTCAGCAGGTCGTTGGATTTGCTGCAGAGAGCTGATCAAAGCCTTAGCATCATCCATGTTGAGCTCTTGCCTCCGTGACCGTAACGATGATCATCATCATGACCATGCTGGTCATGAGAATGAAGATTGCTACAGTTCGTCAACGAGGCGATGTCGACAGTTTTGCTGAGTAGTCTTGTGAGTCATCAGTGCCAGCAGCTCTGGAGGCCATCATGGATGCGACCATGGCTTCCAGATGTGCAGAGCTGCTCTCTCAGTTTCTGGTATCAAGCAGTTCCTTTATTTCAGTTTGCAGAATTTAGAATTCTAGAACCCTTGTGATGGAAGCGTCCATCTCATGGCGATTGAGCAACGTAGTTCCCGTTGTGCCCACGAAAGGAGCGCGGATGGGTTCGGGTTGTTAGCAGCCTGAGGCCACTTGCTGAATGCAATGGGTTTCAGCTCCTGTGGACTTCGATCGGAGAGTTTGCAAGCAACAAGAAGGTCGGATGCCGTATTTCTACACCTGCTGAGTCCGCCCGGAGTTCCCTCTAAATCAGAGTCAAGTTAGAGTTCTCGCCGAGGTCCGTCTGCTCCGAGTACTTCCCGGAAGATGCCGCAAGAAAAGCCGGAGCGGCTGGAGGAGCTAATTTGGGGAGTTTTCGAAGGTCATGAAGGCATAGACACTCTTATTCATATTCAGGCAGTGGTCCCTGAGACAGTCATGCAATGAGCCAGTCCTTGACTTTACTTATCGCATGGGGCCTCAGTGAGGAGCTCCTTCGGCGCCCGACACGGCTCCAAGAGCTGCGCGGTTTCGGGCTGACAAGTTCCGGTGGGGGGTGGGAAGCGGGCTATTCCACTTAAAGGAGGATTCGGATGAGGTTGCTGGGTTCCAAGGGCCACTGCACTTGCTGTGACAATTATTACAATGCGGTCATACAAGCAACAGGGTCGTTTCGGAGATGTCTTAGCATTGTCGAGCATGTGAGCTGGATTCCGGGGTCTCAGCCAATGTCTGCAGAGAAGCTTGACCATGTGTATGCAAAGGCGGAAAGACCCAAAGCAAGCGTAGCTTGACCCTGCCGAACGCAACAGCGAAAAAACCGTGCAGGTGGTCAGGACGGGCCTCAGTCCGCGACTAGCTCGGCATTACCGACAGTCATAAGGAGGAGATATTGAACAGCAGCAGCAGTCGTCCCAAGTAGCACGAGTCCTGCTACCATCATTGATGGTAGTAAGGTAGAGGTGTAGAAGTGGTATTGGAGTGATGGTGGTAGTTGGAATGGTGGTCGCAGCCGCAGCAGCCGCAGCAGCAGCAGCAGCAGCAGCAGCAGCAGCAGCAGCAGCAGCAGCAGCAGCAGCAGCAAGAACATCAGCAGCTGTAGAAGTAGACAGCACTGGTACAGTAGTTGCGGTAGCGGTAGCAGTTGTAACCGTCGTAGTAGTAGTAGTAGTAGTAGTAGTAGTAGTAATTAGTATTAGTAGTAGTAGTAGTCGTAGTAGTAGTAGTAGTAGTAGTAGTAGTAGTAGTAATACTAGTAGTAGTACTAGTAGTAGTAGTAGTAGTAGTAGTAGTAGTAGTATAAGTAGTAGTACTAGTAGTAGTAGTAGTAGTAGTAGCAGCAGCAGCAGCAGCAGCAGCAGCAGCAGCAGCAGTAGTCGTGGTGGTCGTGGTGGTAGTGGTAGTAGTAGTACCAGTACCAGTACCAGTACCAGCACCAGCACCCGTACCCGTACCCGTACCTACCAGTACCAGTACCAGTACCAGTACCAGTACCAGTACCAGTACCAGTACCAGTACCAGTACTACCACTACCAGTACTAGTACTAGTCGTCGTCGCAGAAGCAGTAGCAGTAGNNTGTTGTTGTTGTCCTCCTCCTCATCCTCTTCCTGCTCCCTCGTCCTTGTCCTCCCCGTCGTCGTCAACATTGCCGTGATTCAGTCTTTTATTTTGGCTGCATGATTTAGGTGCAAACCCTCCGAGTGAGGCTTCAGGTAGATCATGGCCTTGCTCGTCTGGATAGCCCAGTTCGCATCACCCGTGTACACCTGCGTGGATACTGCTGCACCGAAATAGCCCACAGTAGCCAGGACGAAGAAAACGACGTGGAGCCTATCAGGGAGCTTCAGAAGGCTTGGCGAATGGCCTGCGCCTGCTACAGTCCAGAACATGTGGCACGACCCTTTGACGCGCCAGGCAATCTCTAAAACCGATCAACCCCGGAGCCTGTCACTTCTCACAGCTGGCTTGTCCCTCCGGCTGCAGTGGCAGCACAGCATAAGCAGGCCGAAAGAAAGGGAAGCCACGGCACAGACATAGAAGGTCGACAGGGTGCCAGTATGAGCTGCTGGTGTCTGTGCAGGGTCAGGGATCGGATCATCCAGAAAGATATAGCCATTGTAGTCACAGGCCATGGCAGAGAGGGCCACCTAGACACTTGAACCTCCACACGATCTAAACTTACAGTAAAGCACGTGTTCATGATCGTCATAACACTAACTTGCAAAGTATAGGCTGAGCCCGAACATCCAGTGTGCTCTCAGTGAAACTCCTTTGAATCTTCAACCA